AAAATAGAAAAGTTTTTGGGATCAGAAACAACCAGAACTTTTGAGAAACAAGACTAAGTCACATTTTTACCTCGAGCCACTCAGAACCAATATTATTAGTCGCCGGCATCCACCCGCCAGGGGAACCTTGGTAATTTAATCGGCCTTTGGAAGGGTCGTAGATTATATTGGATGAAGGTGGAGAGGTAGGCACACTTTTTCTGGAAGAAGCAGTCAGAGAATGAGAACCAGCGGCTACACCTTGAGCTTTGACTTCATTTTCTGAAAAAAATAAATAAACGAAAAACAAAAACTGTGATTGAATAATTTGGATATATCAACAAAGTTGAAATGGTAAATTGGCCACCGTAACGATTACAAAAGCTGACGTTTCGAGCATTAGCTATTCGTCGGAGCGAATAGAGGAATTGTGGGTTGTGTGTGCTTTTAAAGGCAGAAAATGGAGCTACAATGTGATTGCTTTACACAGATTATTACGAGGTATGATACTATTAGCAAATACAGCTGTAGTAACGTCAATACTTTCAATACTGCACTAGTAGGAGTTTCAAGGGGAATTAAAAAATGAACGGAAACATATTTCCACTCACAAAATAAAATTAGGATGCTTGGAACCGGGAATTTCAACCAAAATGTGGGAATGGAATTGAGATTTGGACATGAATTGCTAGCGAATGAATTTGTACCAGTCCTCTATGCAGAGCCTTTTTCAAAGGTGTTGGGTAAAGTTTAGGATATAGTTTTACAGTAATGGTAGTCTTGGTGAATCTTGATAAGGGGGAAAGAAGGATAAGCAGTGCAAGATCACTAAGACACCAAGATGTTCTGAAAATCTCCTGTTTTCGCAAGGTTTTATTGTGGTCTAAGAGCAGGAGAAGACATATCGTAACTACTTTACTCAGCGTTCACTATAATGTTTCTAATCTTATAGCCGTTTGAGCATTGGAGAGCTTGAATTTTTTAAACTATTTTTGCAATATATTCTGTGACAGAATACTTCTCATTTCTTATCAGTGAGTCGAGATTTCTTCTAACATGATATTTACACGTAAAAACATAGTCTAAAGAAAAAGGTTAAACCATAACCGATGGAGCACAGTGAAATTCCGACAAGGTAGACTACTGTCTTTGAATGCGTTCTTTCGAGCATAGATTTTCG